GCTGCTGCTGCTGCTGCCCCTCCTCCTCCTCCTCAAATCTCCTTGCTTCAGCCCCTTCCTCTCCGATCTTTCTGTCACACTTCCGCTTCATCCTCCACCCCCTCTTTCCTTCTCTACTTCTCTTCGTCCGCCCCCCTTCTCTCTCCTCCTTCACCTCATCGAAAGTTTTGGAGCATTCAGGATCCTCTAGAAAAGATTCGCCGAAGAGCCTCTGCTCTTGCTTCAGGAAAAGCTGCGCGCAATCGCATCCTTCCCTGCAGCAAGCGATCAATCCCGCTCCTGCTCCTGCTCCTGCTCCTGCTCCTGCTCCTGCTCCTGCTCCTGCTCCTGCTCCTGCTCCTGCTCCTCCCCACCAGCCTCCTCCTGCTTTGTCCCCTTCCCCATCCCTTTCTTCATTCCATGCCTCGACTCTCCCTCCTCTTGCTCTACCCCTTCACCTCCCCCTCCCCCCCCCCTTCCCTTCTCCTCGCCCAGATCCTCATCCACCGCAACTTCGCGAACCTTCTCCGGCATCCCCGCAAATGCTCCAGGAGGTCCGACTTGTCCTGATACATGGTCGGAGGAAGCAGCAACTCGCTGATGTCTGCCTGTCCTTGCTGAATGGAATTTTCGAGAAAGCTGAGAAAGCTGCATAAGAAGACGAGGAAGGTAGGGAGAGGATGGGATGGAGCAGCGGACGGGTGAGACGAGGAGAGGAGATCAGAGTTGGGTAGTGTGCGACGATTGAAAGAGAAGGATACAAAATAGATGAGGACGAGACTGAGAACGTGGAGAAGGAGGAGGGAGAGAGAGGAGTAGGAAGAAGGAGAGGAGGAGGAGGAAGAGTCTATGAATTGAAACGAGGAGCGAGGAGGTTGGCAATGTTGCGGGGAGGTACCGATGCTGCCACTTGTTGAACTTGATCGGCCTGGGGGTCAACCTGCAGCAGCAGGTGAGGGAGAGGAAGGAAGGTTCTCACAACTCACGACTGTCGATCGTATCCTGCTCATGATGACCATCTCGTAACTGAGCTCCCCGCTTCCTCCCGCCACTGGAGGGCGAGACGAGACGTGTGAGGAGGGCAAGAAGAGAGGTGTGGAGGCGGAGAGATGCTCGAGCAAGCAAGTTGGCAGAGCGACTGAGAGATCAAACGAAGGATGGAGGAAAGGCAGGAGAGAGGAGGGAAACGAAGAGGGAGGAGGGAGGAGGGAGGAGGGAGGAGGGAGGAGGGAAACGAGAAGGGAAGAAGGATATCAGCGCGAAATTCTTCATCCTCACCATCCAGAACCCCTCGAGACATCTTCTCCTTGCCGAACGTGTCGATCAACCACCTGCAGAAGATGGACTGTGCGAGTAGAGCTCAGCCGAGGACACAAAAACAGTGCTCCTTGCTCCTCACCGCTCGTTGCCTCTTGCTGCACTTGTCAGAGGGCGGGAGGTGGTCCCCGAGGGCAGAAGGAGTTTGCTGCAGGGCAGGAGGGCGTCAGGCGTCCTCAGCTCCTGACAGAAGACTACAGACCAGCCTCTGCCTCCTCCTCTCCGCCACCCACATCGCTCGCGCCTTGCCGATCGTCTCCCCCCCAGTGTCGTGTCGGTACCTGCACGCTGCCCCCTTCAAGCACTGTCCTGTGTTGATCCACGCCTTGCAGAGAGGAGCATCTTGATCAACGCTCATCTCCTCCTGCATGCTCGGACCAGATACGAGTGCTGCTGTCCTGTCTTGGAAGCAGCCCCTCTTCTCCGTCTCCCACTTCTCCTCTATCGCAAAGTCCCTGCAAAAGACCTCGAACTGACATGCGACGGCATCGACCCCCGGCTCTTGCACCTTCCCCGTCACTCGTATGCGATCGCCTGGCCGCACGTTCGCTCTGAACTCCTCGAAGACCTCGCTGGACGATGTCTCCACAGACATCACCAGCAACACCAGCCCTCCCTCGCCCTCTCCCTCGATCTTCATGTACACCAACAGCAAGTTTCGACGCATCTTCCTCCTGCGGAGAACCTGCCCCTAGCAAGCATGTCAGCTCTGCTCTCCCCTTCCTCCCCTCCTCATCTCACTGTTATCCACTCGCTCTCCTCCTCCTCCTCCTCAGAGCGTTTCTCTCCCCCACTGCTGATTCCTGCCAGCAAGTATCATCCGGATCAGAAGGACAAAGCAGGAGCATGGCAGGGGAAAAGGGCAAGAGAAGGGAGGAGACGACAAGGACCGCACCTGGAGCTCCATCCTCGCCTTCGCATGTCGCCTCCTGCGCGCATGCCCCACTCTGCACATGCGGCCCCATGGTCCCCGCATGTGCCATTGCAGCCGTGCAGGTCAGCTAGCAAGTTGAAATCCATGGCCAATGGTTGATACATGCTCTCCTCCTCCTCCTCCTCCTCCTCCTCCTCCTCCTCCTCCTCCTCCTCCTCCTCCTCCTCCTCCTCTTTCATTTCCTTCTCCTCGTTGCCTCCCTCTCGTTTTACCCTCTCACAGCCTTCTGCCCAATTCTGTACGTGGCCCATGATCTCCTCTCCTCCTCTCCTCCTCACTATCCCTCTCCCCAACCCATCTGCTTCCTCTGCTCTGCTCTGCTCTGCACTCTACTCCTCCCCTGCCCTGTCCCGCGCTCATGTGCATCAGTAGCCTGCTTTCTAATCTCCTCCGATGCAGGCAGCGAAGAGTTTTCCTGCGCTTGTTGGGACACGTGGCATGGCGGCGATCTGGTAGACAGCTGAGGGCGGCAACGGAGAGATGCAGGCAAGCGCGGAGGAGGAGGAGCAGCTGAGCTGCCTGAGAAGTTGGATCGCGTCAGTGATAGGGGATGTATGCCCCTCGGACTTGCGAGCAGCCTTCCGTGACTCTCAGTGTTTGGTTGCACTGGTGGATGCCCTGGACGCGAGCAAGGTGCTTGCTCCCGAACTTTCTCCGCGCACTGAAGAGGACGCGCTCCTCAACTTCGCCACCATCATCGACTTCTTGAACAGGAGAGGGTTCCGGCTCGCCACCAACGCGCAGGGCCTGATGATGTCCCGAGACGTCAAGGGCGTGCTGCAAGTGCTGTGGGCTATGGCGGAGTTCTTTGTTTGCATCCCGCAGTTCTCAAGGTACAGCCAAGGAAAATGGAGGGAAGGAGCGAAGCGATGGGTCGACGCTATCGTCAAGAGGGGAGCTGCGAGCGCGGTGGAGGTAGAAGACTTCAGTTCAAGCTTCAAGGATGGGGTGATCTTATTGGTGATCATCGCCCAAGGTACCTCTCCTCCTTCCTTCCTCCTGCTCCCTCCCTCTCCACATCCTCCCTTTCTCACCCTCCTCCCTCCCTGCCTCCCTGCCTCCCTGCCTCCCTGCCTCCCTGCCTCCCTGCCTCTTCCCCCCCTCGATAGATCTCCTGCCATGACGTTTGTCGCGCAGCATGGCCAGAGGCGCATGTCGATGTGGAGATGACGGTGAGACAAGGGCATCAGGAATGTGTCGAGCTCGCTCTCTGCCTTGCCGAGCAGAAGTTTCAAGTCCCCAGCCTCCTGACCCCCCAGGAGATCATGCGAGGAGCCTCCCCCTCCTGCCTGCTACTCTACCTCGCATGCCTCCACGACCGATTGGTTGCCTCGGACGCCACGGCTGTCGTCAGCCCAGACTTTGCAGGAGAGAAGCTGCTGGAAGCAGTTCAGGGGAGAGGAGACGGGCCGCCGCTAGGAGGGCGGGGCGGGACGATGGAGAAGTTCAGGAGGGACGGTATCAAGGTGGACGAGCTCCTCCCGACGGTCGATGGCGGAGTGATCTGCGTTCTGTGCATGAGGGGGAACGTCAGGTGAGGGAGCGGCGACTGCTGTTGCCTCCCCGCTGATGCCCTTGTGCTCCCCTCAGGCCGAGGTGGCTGGGCTGCTTCCACGCCTTCTGCCTGGACTGCCTGGAGGCGGTCGCGGCGAGGAGCGACGACGTTGCGAATGTCCGTTGCCCCGTCTGCGACTTTGTCAGTGAGATCGACTTGGACGACCTCGCTGCCATGGATGATGATGGCTCAACCAAGGTCAGGAGCTCGACCCCACTCCCCTCCTCCTCCTCCTCCTCCTCCTCCTTCCCACTATCCCTCATGCCCCTACCCGTTCTTCTCTCCTCCCTCCCTCCCTCTCACTCGATTCGCTCCCACTTTGCTTTCCTTCCCACCTCTCCGCTCCTCCCCTTCCTCCTTACTTCCGCCCTCTTCACCCCACTCCTCCTCCCTTGCTGTTTCTCCCTTAGCTCCTTCCTTGTGTCCTTGGGCTCACCCGCTCCTCTCAAGATCCTGGAGATTCTCTCGGAGAAACGTCAGACGTGCAACAACTGTGACGAGAAGATCGCAACTCTGTGGTGCTGCTCCTTCTCCTGCTCCTTCTCCTGCTCCTTCTCCTGCTCCTTCTCCTGATGCTGCTCCTGCTTGTGCACTTTCATGAGAATGTCGATCAGGTGCGAGACTTGTCGAGCTGCTCTTTGCCAGCATTGTAGTCATGAGCTACACAAGTTCAGGATGACAAGCGTCAAGCAGGTGAAACTTCTTTACCTTCCTCCCTCTCTTCCTGCTCCTCGCCCTCGTCCTTCTGTTGCTCTTCCTCTTCCTGGTTGTCCTCCTGTTCGCACTCGCCCTCTTCCTCTTCTTCCAGACACCTTCTCCTGTCACTTGTCCTCAGTCTCCCCCCGATCATCCTGAACCTCGTCCCGTTCCTCCCTTGCCTCCTCCTCTGCCCACACTGACTGCCCGAGTAACTGCAGCATCATGTGGTCCCCTTGCAAGCAGGAGGAAAGAAGCCAACGGAGCTCAGGAGATGTTTCCTCCACCAGGATGAAGAAGTGATCTCCCCTCGATGATGTTCCTTGAGACGTTCTGATGTACCATGGCAGGTGTTGTTCCTCAGCATATCTAGGTGAGAGCTGCTGCTGCTGCTGCTGCCGCTCGTCCTCGTCCTCGTCCTCGTCCTCGTCCTCGTCCTCGTCCTCGTCCTCGTCCTCGTCCTCGTCCTCGTCCTCGTCCTCCTCTTCTTCCTCCTCCTGCGTGCTGCCCTGGCGTCGTCATCTCTTCTCTTTTGAGTCTCGCTATCTGCCTTCTCTGACTTTCCTGTCCCAGCCAGCAGCTCGTCTGTAGAGAATGCGTCTTGAGCGGGCAGCATCGAGAAGTGATGTTCTTATCTTCTTCTCCCCGCCCCCCCCCCCACCCCCCAACCACCAAACACCTGCTTCTCTCCCTCTTCGCTCCTCTCCCACAACTCCTCCTCGGCCCCTCCCCTTCCTCCTTCCCATCCGTCTCCTTCTCCAGCTAGTCCCCCTGGTCCCCTCCTCACACTCTGCAGGATTACTACGTCACGATCAAGGAAGCCGGAGA